CCAGAAAAATTACAATAGGTGCAGAATGGCAGAACTGGACCAACAGTAGTCCAGAATTAAAGTGGAAAATTCTTGGCGACAAGGATTTTATCTCAATCAGTGCAGAATGGCAGGACTGGACAAACAGTAGTCCAGAGTTAAGATGGAAAATTCTTGGTGACAAGGATTTTATCTCAATTTCAAAGTTCATTCTGGCTGACCAAGACATGTGTTTGCCAAGAGGCAGAAGAGTGACATGAAACATTACAAAAATATGGTTCCTAAGGCAAAAAATGATGGTAATCCTTCCCAAGCAACAAAAGTACTGCAACAACATTAAGCTAATATAMGCTAAWGTCCTGCATCTTGGGTTTGTGTCAAACGTAAAGATATTAAAAAAAAGGGTGTTATTCATTTATTAATATCATTAATTATCATGGACCACATTATCAAAGACTACACTGGCACACCAAAACCGGGAAAAAGCATCTTTCATACATGAAAGAGATAGAGACAAAATCAAAGATTTGATTGTCCAAAACATTGCCGAGCCATAATGGGAAGAGGTAGATCAAAACTTTGACGRTCAGTGAGCGCTTGGTCCATTCATAGAGTTTTTGCTCATTTTTGAAAATTATTTATCAGCTTTTATTTGTTTTTATTCTCAGAATTGTACAAGCCACCGACTGACTCTCGTCCAGTGGGGTTAAATGGCAAGAATGGTCTCGGCTCCCCTGTCATAGAGTTAAAGTTGTAACTGATTTAGARGGAAGACTGATCACTGCATATCCAGTACATTGGGAAAATCAATCATCTCAAATGAGTGTTTCAAGTTGTTTATTGCAATGTTGAGGTTATGTAATACAGATATAGTTTATTTCCATGTAATTATTTATATCAATTTAATTTTTCATTGATATGTTGATGTAAGGTGTATTTTCAATTTAGTTCATTTATAAAAGACCTAATAATTGAAACTGTTGCATATCCTCAGTGGGAGGAAAACGACTGATATTTTGTTGTTTGGTAAGCACACTAAAAAAATGTTTGCTATTCTTTGTTTGTTTGCGTGTCACATTCCACTTAATGTGTAMGTTTTCATTTTTATCACAAAAATGGAATCGGAATCCAAGGTATTATTACTGGTGAAATTTGAGGAATTCATTGCCAAGTAATTTAGCTCCCTAATGACCTGGCTTTTTAAAAAGGCATATTTACTTTTATAGTTCTGTTTATAAGATATTGGTTTAAGATTCCTCTATTTTGTGTATTTGAAAGATCTACCTGTTAAAATGATCGAAAAAAATGATATTATTGTATATATATTTTATTTCAATTTGGAATCTTCTYATGAATTTGCTGATACCTGCACTATATAATTAATATTCATTATTATCGTCTTTTCATAATTTACAACCAACATAATTTCATTCACCCTACTAGAATTTGAAATAAAATACTTATTAAAATGGATCACATCATAAGAAATCACTCACAACAGGATAATATCTATGTAGGCAGACGCCAAATTAATTTTAACTGAAGATGACTCATAGTCGAAAACGTTTTTCAATGTTTTAATTTCATAACATCTATATTTTCATCCTTGTACATAATAATAATTTGCTAATTAATTTGACATTCAAATATTGTTTCCATTTCTTTGAACAACTACAATACTTGTGTCACTCTCTTTTCTGATCTCATCTACCCATTTACACATAATTCAAAATCAGTCACGATGGCAAAATTGATCAACAACCAAAAATCTTTTAGCAAAGTGGCCAAAAAGACCCAACATATATGAACGCTTTTTTAACAATAATGTTCTCTGAGCATGCGAAAGTAGACTCCTCGTCTACTCAAAACATTTTTGAAAAACTTGAAGAAAGGAGAAAGAAACAGCTTCCAAAACAATCCAAGTTACTCCCTGATTCAATCAACAAATAAGAAATGCATGTTTAATTTCTTTTAAAAGCTCTAGCTAGTCAACATAAGAAAGCCAAAATTATTCAACTAAAAATGCCTCCCAAAGTAAGCTTCTGTCACTTGTACAATTTTCACTTTAAGTACAGAATTTAAAAGAGGATCAAAACGATGATTTAAAAATGGATTCTTTTTCCTTTTTTTAACAGTCATTCATTGCAATTTTTAAAAAACTACTTCAGTAAACTTGAGAATTCAATTTCTGTCCACCTGAACAAGCTTTTGAAATTTGTTGACCAGGTCATAGGGTATAAAGAGAGACAGTGAGCTTTTCCGTGTTTTAAAATATCTTAGAAACAGACTAGGACCACAATTAGATGGTGGTTACTTTGTAATACGTGCTTTCAAGTGATTAAATAATTTTAACAAATCTAAAACTCAAAATTTCAGGAATTGTTTCGAATTACGATTGCCATTTCATCATAATCACTCAACGTGCTAACCAATAAGACTTAAGATTAAAAGTTTAACTTAAAGCTAATTAAAGTACATAAATACTTTTGCATTTCAAACATTTTATACTTGTAGTAATATCAAACACAATAACGTTTTTATTCAACTGTAGCATACTGATCATTGCAATTTGAACATCTCAATGTAAAATWTTTCATATATATTAAAGAATTAATATTACATTGTTTGTACATACCACATCAATAGAAAACGTGACCTTTTCTGCTGTTATTCTACAAATTGTAGCTTCTGGATTTCGTATTTCTTGCCTTTTTTGACCATAACATTCTTTATATTGAGTAAATTTACACCTATAAGAAAAGACAAATGCTTATAAGTAAAAATTTCACTGTTATTGCAAATGAAAGCACTTCGTAAAATGTCCCCCATCATTGAGAAATTTATCCAAACTAATAGAGCCGATAGAGCCTGGATCGAGTGAACAGGGAACCCAAAACGTAAATGACGGGCTCCAGGCCATGACAGTTCAAAAAACAAATAAAAAAAAGGAGAAAAAAAAGGCAAAAACATTGAAATGGGTTCATTTTGATAACATTTCAACTCTCCTGATCTCAAGATTGCAGCGTAAAATAAGACATTTCGAGAAAGTGGCAAAACTAGTCACATTTGTTATTACGTGGGCTTCCTGTGGAAGCTCAAGTCAAAAAATGTCAGTGGACTTTTCTCTTCGTGAAAATTTGGCTTCAAATTGGTAGCGCCTGCGTAGCATATGGTCTGCAGTCTCGGTTTCAATGGTGTCAAACTAAATCAATCCGCGCTTTGTTTTCATTTTTGACAGGTATTGTTTTTGTACGTCAGTCAGCCTGGTGGACTGTTCGCAATATTTTCGGCCTCAATGTGACCAGCTGGTTTTTATGAGCCATGAATGTAAATCATATGACAAAACCAAAGGCTGTAGTAGTACTTAGCTCAGTTCGGTAAAAAAATATGATGTATTAAAGATGTAAATTACTTATATTGACTTTATTCTGTTTTGAGCTATTTCAAACAAAAGCTCTGTCGTGAAAATTAAATACTCATAGCTTAATTGTGGCAGGTGGCCATTGTCGCAGGTACAGGAAGCCCACGTAAACGATCTATGATCGTCTAGTTATTAAGAATAAGGAGGAAAACACACGTTTTTTCTGCTACTGATGCGACGTTTCGGTGTCGTCATAGCGCCATTACCAAGCAAACTGTTATTATAATAATGTACAAGTGTCGATAAGGTAATTGAATAAATTAACATAAGTGACAAAATATATTTACAGACGMTATTAATAGAAAGCTCGCTTTCACGGAGTCACCTCGAACGTCAATCGAAGGTCTTTTGTCTTTTATAAAAAGCATTTAATCGTAAATCCAACAGTTTAATTTTGTTTGGTACTTTCTTAAAAAAAAAAAAAAATAAATAAATAAAATTGTCAAATTTGTATCTGTGCTTCAAGTATATTAACCATTTAACATCTGTACGTTATTCTAATAAACATTTGCTTGGTAATGGCGTGAAAATGTCGCATTAATAAAAGCAAAACCCTGTTTTTTTTTGCATTGTTATCTTTCTTAATATTATGTTTTTTTCTAAACATCTTCTTCTATTATACTTTAAAAACATTTTAGACCTGATTTGTGAAATTACGGTGGTCTTTCGGTTATCTTTAGAAATATTTTTTCTTTTTCGAAACATCTTGTTTTTCTTTCATATTTTCAAAACATTTGAGACCTGATTTGTGAAATTTCGGTGGTCTGCCGTCGTTTTATGTAGGTTTATCTCTCTTGAAAATCATAAACAAAATGGCGGATTCTATACCGGCCGATCCACCTTGCACGACTTAAAAAAGTACAATTGGAACTGAAAGCACTACAGATAAACACTGTAGTTACAATACATGCTATATTATTTGATGGGGTCCCCATGCACCAGTGCACATTTTTAGTATCCCAGTATTTAATAACTAAAAAGTTTAAACATTCTATGTATTCTACTGTCTTCTCACAATTCTGTCAAGGAATAAAATTAAACGAAAGACACTATGATGAGCTATAGCTGACATATGTCGTAAAATGTGCTCTACAATGTTTGATAAAATATACAATAATTAAATCGTGGCTTGACTTTCGCTTGACCAACCATAAAGCCAAAGATGCATGTAATATGTAGTTTGCATAATCCATTAAACAYTCGCTCATAAGGTTGAAAGAACAACGCGGTGTGCTCACAAAGCACAGCAAGAATCATAAAGCCATGTCCACAAATTATTCAGAATTGCTCATTTTAGCGTCAAACCCCCACTTGGGTATTCAAAAGACAACGAGGTTGCGGTTTTCGCTTGTGATTGATAAGCACATGTTTTTTTTAATTCTGACGAAGAGTCATTTCTGAAAAGCTTATTTTTGAGTTTTTCTGACACGCAAAATGTTACGAAATGATCAATATAAATATTCATTACAACCTTGATGCTTGACTAAGAGATAAATTTGAATAAACAAAGCAGAAAAATTATTTCAGTCATCAAGTTCTTTTACCCGGTTCAGAAGTCGATMTTTTGCGTGTTTGCATCTAATATAATTGCTGGAGTTAAGTTTATGAGCATTTCGTGCTCTGCATTTATTGAGATTGGTAGGTTTTTGTTGATTTGGACTAAAAACCTCTCGTGAAGAAGAGCACCTGCAAGAATTAGATTACACGCGGCAAAAGATCGACTTCTGAACCGTACGTACAAGAACCGATATCTTTTTATGGCGGCGGCCGTCAAATTATGTACAGATTCTTTCATGTATTCAGTTTAATCCTTCTTTTGTCCGGCGATTTCTATCTTACAACCAAGTTTGGCCCTATCTTGCGATACGAGACGCGAACATGTTTTTCTGAAGCGTGCTATAAAAATTGTAAAATACAATCTAGTCGAACTTAAAATTCATCGACTGATGTCTATTTTTTTATGCAAATCGATTGATTTGTCGTCGTGTTTTGTTTTTCGATCGCCCACAACGTGTTTTTCTTTTAAACCGAGCCAGTTATAGTAATAAAGAAGAAGTATTTCAAATTTACATTAGGAAAAATATATAATTGTTTGTTTCAAACGATCTATAGAAAAGCAAATGTCAACATCTTTGTGGCCAAATGAAAGTGAGAAAAAAAAAAAACAAAAAAAACAACAAAAAAAACAACAACAACAAAAAACGTGTATCCAAAGGCAAAACGAAAAGGGCGCGCAAATTGATGATATAGAACGAATATACTCAAAAACTCAAACATTAAAGAGAAAATCACATTACTGCCGACATCAAAATGCTTAAGTACAACTCTAAATCATTAAAACATCGCTGAAACCTACCTTTTGCTTCATGAGCTAGAAACATCCTTTCGTGATACAACCATCTTGTCTTTCAGAGCGATTCAACTGACTAAACAAACGCCCACTGTTCAGCACTGTTCTGCTTTACATGAAGGCACGTGATAGAATATCACATGTCTAGCACGTGGTCTTCCACAGTACTTGAGTGACGCGTCACTCGAGTGACGCCTGGGATACTTAGCCTAGCTTCTATTTTCTTGTGTTCAAGCAAGCGCAATGAAAACCCATGTCTGTATTCTGGAGYAATGTATTATAGAAAGACAAAAATGGACCTTTATCCTTGCGCGCGCGGAATAGACAATGTGGTTAGAGTTCGAGCTTCAAAGGGAGGTCATTAAAATTCACCATGACGTCACGTGTTAATGTCATAGAACGGAACGGCTTCACGCTAGCTTATGACGGTCTCATCCAGAAACCTGGCGTTTGGTGTAAATACAAACTGTATAAAACTTTATCATCTTAATTTGTATAAATAATTCTAACTCATTGTTTCTTTGTTTGTGTTAGAATCAATGCAATGTTGGATCAAACTTTACAGTGCGAATCGGAAAACCTTGGCCGCCTAGAAATATTTCAGGATGTTTATTGTTGATTGACCAATCAGAAGCGAGATTAACCATCATTAAGTGCATTTTCACGTGCAAATATAATCAAAACTTCAAATAAATAACTAGTTTATCACCAAAAATAAGCATGTTAAAGCTCACAAATAGTACAATTTTGTTCTTTAGAATAAACACAAACTTTGTGCATTTATGGGTTTTCATCATGTTTTCTTATTTGTCAGCTAAAGTCACTTTTCAAGCACGCATTCCCGAAATATTTT